ACAGTGAATTGACACACGAATTTTGTGTGATTGCTGCTAATTTGCATTACTTCACCACGCCGATTGTAAATTTTGTCCATTATGCACATATAAATTTATCATGGTTCATTGATCAAACCCAGAACAGGTTTCCCTAATTGAGTGAAGGATATTTTGAATAGGTTAATTGTTTGCTTCATAGTTACGTTGTTACCTTGTTTCATAGTCTCACTTATAATATAAGTGAGAGTACATAATGAAGCAATGTCTCGTTACCGTGTTATATAGACGTCTCGTTCCGGTTACAAAATGAGGAACTCATGGGGGATATTTGCGATTGCGATGTCATATTTTTGAGAATTTATAAATTCAATCAAGATCCCGATTCTACTTTTAAACGATCAATTCGTTTAAAAGTAGAATTAAAAGTAGTAAAAGTAGTGTTTATAAATTCTTTTTAAACAATCAATTGTAACGGTCGTTACATCGAGTTGCAGGAAACGGAGGATGAAATCACTCTTGGGGACGTTGATCTTCTTATGTGGCTTCGGTTATGAGCATGGCTCACATGCGGCAAACATATTGGTCTATAGTCCTTCATATAGTCAAAGTCATTTGATTACAAATGCTCTCATGGCTGATATTCTGGCTGAGGAAGCAGGCCATAATGTGGTGAGTTTCTTGTTCAATTGGTAATTATCAGTGGAACATTGTGAAAATTGCTTCTGAGATAAGAGTGACTGTTGTCACGTCTGTGATACGGTAGTTCTCAAATATCTCTACGATAGGATCGAGGCTTACCTAAACATCAGATAATTAATTAGCTTATGTTGTTACCGAGTTAGAATTATGCTTTGACGATCAGGCGATTGTACGGTTTCACGGCTATGAAATATTGACACCTAAAACTGATCAATATCATCATTGCCAGCCCTATTTGACGTCAACTTGAAGAATTGCAGGTGATGTTCATCCCGGAATATCACGAGACCAATTTCAATGGTACTAAACATGCAAAAATTATCAGAATGTCTGGGATTTCGGATAGCTTTGACGAAAACATGAAGGATTTTAGTGCTGGCTTCATAAAAGATCATACGCTCAGCTTCAGATTGCGAAAGCTTTTCGAGGAGGCCACCAGTGAGCAGTGTGAAGGTTGGTTCACTTAGCTTTCCTCTTCCGTTTCCAATTTTAATCAAATCGAAATTTGATCTCAAATTTGATCCCAAATGGAAAACGGCTTATTTTAGTAGCTCGATTGGGCCTTCGTTACATGAACGTTGAATTCGAGAAACTATGACAAATGCGTGAATCTGATTTAGAGTCCACCAATATAATGGATTCGTTAGTGTAACTGTGCAGTCACCTTGAAGATTTCTCGAAATATACCTTCGTAATACATCTAATTATTAAGAATGACCATTAACCAAGCTAGCTATCTGATTCCTATGATTCCGGTTGAATTTCTCTGCACCCTTCGTTTCTTTACTTCATGATTTTCCAGCAATTCTTCGACGTAAAAGCGAACTGGAGCAATTGCGTTCCTACAATTTTGACGTTGCATTCAGTGAGCAACTTGACCTGTGCGGAGTTGGCATTATCAGATATCTGGGAATCAAAAGTCATATCTGGATATCGTCAGGATCGATGATGGATGGTTTATCAGATACATTAGGTATTCTATGAAATTATGGTTGTGTCCATACTCTTGCCATCAAATCCAAACCTTCATATTATGTTCTTTATTGTCAGCTCTGCTGGAGGATTGTGGACTTCCTGTTTCCCATTTTCAGGCGTACCAATGCCCATCTCATACGTTCCATCGGTTGAGGAGAATGATCTCAGCACTGAAATGTCTTTCATGGAACGAGCACAAAACATGTATCTGTAAGTTATTCAACACAATCGTTGCTATTCAACAAACACGATCAATTCCTATTAATACCATGCCAACTTATGTTCATGAATATAGCCAATCATGAGCCCTCAGATCACGAATACGTAGCGATTGTAATTCTCTTGAGAAGTACTGTTAGAAATGAAAATGCACTGTCTGGAGAATGCTGCCCTCATGAAGCTAGTGAACCTCGTTTTCCTACTCCACCCTAAAAGAGAACAGCTCGAAAATATATCCTATTTTTCAAACACATTCTCTTTCGCAGGTTTTTCAGCGTTTATTTCACAGATTTTTCAGGACAATGATAATCGACTTTTCCCG